AAATATATATTTATACATATTAACAAATATATGCATATGTGTTCATACTTATAAAAGGTGGCCATCACATTATTTATAGAAGGTTGATTTTTCTAAAAGCTTTCATTAAGACCTTTCGTCACCCTAAATCGTATAAGGTGATGGAGGACTAATAGCTGCAACGAATTTTGACTAGGAATCAAATTCAAAATTTATTACCAGCTTCAAAACCTACTTTATATGAATAAAAGTAGCATAGTTTAATGTAATGGCAAATACATATTGGTATCATCAATATTCCCATTATAAATATGATAGGGGAGACAGATTTAACTATTTGTCATTGTTCATATTATTCAAGATTTATATGAAAGCGCAAATTTGTTTAATCAGCGTACTACTATTATTTGCTGAGTCAAAACACTATCATGCAAGCTTAACTTGGCTATATTAAAGGAATATTATGCTGTTTTTGTCAGAACTTTCTACCACTTCATTTCTTTAAAAGATATTAATCTTCTATTTCCTCTTTACCAGGACTTAATCTGTGCTCGCCCAATCCTTGCCAGAATGGCGGTCTTTGTGAGCCGGCCAGTGAGTCTGGGGACTTTGCCTGTCGCTGTCCGCCCGGTTGGTCAGGCCGTTGGTGTCATGCGCCCGGCAACCGGCCGTGCCAACTGACAGATAATGCTGCAAATTGGAGTGACGCAAATGCCAGCCGAGGCGTGTGTCTCAACAACGGCGTCTGCAGGAATGATGCACTCAGTTGGGGCGGGTTTGAGTGCAGCTGTCCGTCTGAGTGGACCGGACGACTCTGTCAACTGCGTGAGTTTGCAGCCTGTAGCGTCGAGTTGTAGGAAGTCACAGTCGAGCATTCTCAGAGGGAGTATGAAAAATAACCAGTCAGCCAAATGTCCGCTTCCACATGAGCCCACATAAGCACTGTCTGAACAATATTCACTTAAGCTCTTCATATTTCCAGTCTCGTGGAGACTGTATGACTTAGCAAATCGGTTGCCAGACTAAAAAAATGTAAAGTTTCCAGTCGAAAATGCAGAAATACCATTTCTGCTGAATTCGAATATAAGTAGTATTAAAACGGAAAAATGCATGGATCTTTCATAAAGTCTAGATCTCAAGCATCTTGGCCGATGGCTCCAGTAAAACCTGAAATCGGCTAAGGCATCAGGACTTAAGGTGTTGTTTAAGTTGAGCTAAAGTGCTCATTTGCATAAAATCTATCGTCAGAGTAAGGGTTTCTAACAATTTAACCAAGAAATTTCGGTTAAAAATGGGTTAATATCAATGAAATTTGGCCTTTTTCTATTATTTCTTGTTTAAAACCTTGAGCATCACTGTAGAATGGCCTTAAAAAGTGACAAAGCATTTCATTTCAAAGAAATAGTCGGTAGGAAGGATTTACAAATTAGCCTCACCGCATTTGGGGTCTAACCTCCTTGAATGTAGGAAGACCATGATGAACACGTGCTAGGCTTGAGTTTGCCATGTGACAGACAGTGCCAGAAAAAAAACAATTATTCATGAAAAAGTTAATATACACAATATGCTGGAAACTAATAGTTTATTGTATTTGGTGCGGTATTTTCCCAAGTCATAAATAGAAATTACCACATTAGCACAAAACTTCACAACATCCTGATTTGCAAATGGATCCAAGGATTCTCTATAAGAAGATCTAACCAGGAAGTGTTCGTTTTTCCATTATACATGGTCCTGACGTTCTATTTACTCATTCTATCCTCCATTCCATTACGTTCCATTCTCTCAGCTTTCGCCAAAGCTGGTAGCACCAAGTAACTGGGTGAGAAGTTGTGTACTTCCCTGTTTTGCCGCATATAGCTGTTATCTTCCGTTTTATTTCTTATTATTGTGTAATTATTGGGAATTAATTCTCGTGGATAATTATTCCAAATTAAATATA